CCATCAAGGATTCATTAATCACAATATCCCAAAAATTAAATTAAATAAAAAACAAGCCCAAATGTCTAACAATTCCAACCCGATAATAAACAGCCAAATAAAGTAATAGCCCAAATAAAACCACGATCCAATCCACACAAGGCCCACTTAACTGGAGTTGATGATGGTGAGAGGCGAGAGAAAGCCCAATCCACGTATAGACTCAATCAACTAGAGACGATGACGACGAGAGGTGAAAGCGAGACTACGACGACAAGCAACGAGAAACCCGAGACACTCGACCATGAATTGAATGATTATCTCCCTAGAAATTGAAGACCACACAGGTGCGATGATAACCCAAAAAATTCTATCTCCAAATACACACGTAGAGAACGTCGCAGAGGACAAACAACCAAACGCCAATGATGCCCGAGACGCAAGTTCCGATCAGAGATTACTATGAATAGAGGATGATTGCAGCCTGCAGGATGACTGCCCAAGAAGCCAACCACGAGATACTTGAACAAAGAGCCAAAATCATATTTCACACGCTTGTGTAAATAATTTTAGGCTTTGATACCATGCCAATTTTGCGGAATGAATCTTTGTTATGTATTGCCTTACATTTATAAGGTACTATACATGTAAAGTAATTAATCCCAGATTCTATGCTATGTAATTATACTATACAAGGAAACTCAAAAATTAAATTGCTTAAGATAAGTGTGCGACAAATTAAGCCTCTAATAACTAGGTCTACCCAATAAAGCTACACTTGCTTCGAAAGAACAAGATATTTGATCCATGTAACATATTCTCACTACTTGTTCCAGAAATTCTGGAGTACAGAAAAATTTTAAATCGATAAGTCATTTTATGTACGAAAATAAAGTTTTCCTTTTCTAGGAAATACCATCCAAAGAAATGTTATTCTATCTCATATCTACCCATTAACCAACATTCTCGTCTTTTGTTTTGGAAAAAAATCTTGGGTATGGAATTAGGGTGCTGAAGAAAAAAAATTCTTTTCCTTGAAATATAATCAAAACAATTTATAATTCATAAAACTATGTCTTCTCCAATATTTTTCATTTTGAAACAAACAGAGAGCATGTTTTAGTTTAGTAACTCAGCATACAAATATTTTCATTTCCCTTTTTCTAACTATTTTCCTGAAATAACAATGTTATTATAGACTCTAGAAATGCATTGCATGAAGATTAAAAATAATAATAACAAGTGAAGGCAGGCTCAATGTGTCAATAAAATCATAAACTGTATCCTAAAATGTAAAGAACAGCAATAAGTAGCATGTACGTATGTCTACAATATTAGTATTACTATTCGTGTTGTAATAATATGTTGACAGAAGAATAAATCAATAGCCTCTAGAGTTTACCCATTTCCAGCAAAATCAAAGCGAAATGCACTAATTCCTTGGTTTTCTAGAGCACTGGCAATGTTGATCATGATGTTGAACTCCTGCATATTAAATATGAGAGATGAATCCCACCACTAGGCACTATCATTATAACTGACTGCCATTCTATCTAAACTTTTTGTAGAATTTCTTTTTAATAATAAATACAAACTCTCCAAAATTTATTCATATTTCAACGAATAACTAAAGTACGATTGCATGAGACATCAATGACTTCATCTCTATCACACGAGATTGAAGTAGGTTTATATTTCCAGCAACCATTCACCTATATTCAAATTTTTCCAGATTATGTACAATTGTGGTTGCCCTTGTTTTGATCATCAAATTTGTATGCAACATAAATTTAGGGTTATTTTGTTCACACTGCAACTGCAGATCTTAAATTTTACTGGAAATTTTTCTTTTTAGAACTTAAAACCCATTTTAGTATTAATTCAGGATGGTTAGATGAGCTGGACAATTCAAACGAGTTTTTCTTTGCCTCCAACCATCTAGGATTCTGATATAAATTTAGATTTTCAAATCTAAATATGGCTTTAGAAATTAAAGTAATAGACAAAAATCCATGGCTAGAATTTCTCTGTGGTAACTGACTACAGGTTATATAGTCATTAGTAAAGCTGGACTTTCCTTCTAAGCACTTAAATAAACTAATATTCATGTCAAAGTTTTGGCTGAATGATTTTCCCATGGGATTCCTTACATTATATAGGAATAAGTACAATCTAAATATGGTAAGTGTAATTACAACAAAAATACAATTATATACAGAAATATCCGTAGGTAATCTTGCTTAGTCAATTCTCCGTGGAAACACAAATTTATGGTAAGTGTAATTACAACATGAATTCAATTATATACAGAAATATCCGTGGGTAATCTTGCTTACTCAATTCTCAGTGGAAACACAAATTTATTGGCACTTCATAATACAATAAAAAGACATATGTCAATGGAAGTCGTGAATTTGACGACTGAGGAAAAATAACCAAACCAAAAGAACACACAAACCTTCGAAGATTGAAAACCATGGCACAAAACTACAATTTCTGTAGATTCAGTCTCATGCAACACGCCCACAAGTCTTTCATTACGCTTATTCAGTATCGCCATTTTCCGCTGCTTAGCTGCAGAAAAATTGTAGTTATTACCTAGTTTGGTAACCACAAAAATCTAAAAATTTAGTAAGTTCCACTAATTACTTTCTACATAAAAGGTGAGACCTTATAAACAAGATGAACTCTTCTACGTAATACAAATGGTGAAGGTATCAAATTTCAAGTAAACACTTCTATTTATTGAAGACCCAAAGTGGCATAGATTCAAACAAATTTTAGTTTCTTGACAAAATAAAACAACAACTATGCTTAGTATAACAAATCAAGCAATTGAAGAAGGGGAAAGAAAAAAAAGAAAGAGAAGTCTGGGATGGAGTAAAGGTGTAGGAGACTTGAAACATGACAATCATAAATTCTATTTTAGTACAGCTTGTGAGTGTTTCTAACAGATTGTTTAATTATTCTTAGTTTATGATATATGAGAAAAATCTCCTGTTTGTATGTATTCTTTATCCTAAATTAACTCTTTCAAATCGAATAATGAAATATGCAGAAATTTGCATGAGCCATATCTGTGGTACAAACAAACAAAGATAATGTGAACCAAAAAAAGTACTAATGGCTTTGAAACAACTGGCAAGTCGAACTTCATTCACACATTGTATATCACGTATAGTACTATTCAATAGAACGAGATGCAAATAAAAACGGAGTCTCGGCCACTGGAGCATATATGAATGGTGTTTTGACAAGAATGCACTGGATTACACATCCAGAACACACCACATCGATGTTACACAAGAAATGACACCACTTAGAGACAGAGAGAACCCATCTTCTCAAAGCCATTTCTTTCCTGGTGACTACCACAATAAATTTACTGTTAACATAGCACCAACCAAGAAAATGAAATAATTTGTATCATGAGTTCACATTACACTTCCAAGAATAGTATGAAAATGAGGAATTGAGGCCCAATCATTCAAGAAATGATCCTGTTCCAATTTGAACGGACTTTCATGAATTCAGATTCTAAAATTCAATTTTCAGAATGTAAACGTAATGTTGACAAATGATTATCATGTATCAATATCAATTATTCAATTACAACCCCAAATATTACAAAAAATGGGGCGCTAAAATTAAACATCTGCCAGTATGTAAATAACATTCACTATCTTCATTCTTCTACCTTAATATGATTATTTTCTACACTTCACATAATACT